GGTGATTATTTTTTAACTCTCATGCTCTGTTTCAGGTAACGGGGCTTTCTAAGTGTTTGAGAAGTTAGATGTGTTTTCCCAACTCTGAATATTTATCTGAGGTATTTCTTTTGTCTCAACATTCCCTTTCTCACTCATCTTGGCAGTTCAAATTCCATCTTTCTTGTAAGGCCTGTCTTCAGAATGCCTGTATCCATGAGACTCTACCCTTACCCTTTGCGGGAGAAATAAATGTGTTTTCTTGTCCTTAAGGAGGTGAAATGCTGCCATCAACTCTGTGAAGTCTATCAATTCTGAACCATTTTTGACCATAGGTATAGTTACATGCAATTGAAAACAATCTTTTTCATCTTAGTGCATGAAATGACTATAATTTAAGGTGATCATTTCTATTAAATTGAATCTGCTGTGATTTCTTCATTCACTTTGCTCTAAAAGAAAACTGGTATTCATGGTGACCCGCTTATAGCTTCACTGAAATTACTAGACTTTTTTTTGGGGGGGGGATGATTATCATTATGGTTACCTTATTGCCTAGGTTTTCTTTCAGACTTTAAAGTACATGTTTCAAATTGCCAGGTTTTTTTTTTAAAGGTTTAGTATGTTTATAGAGTCTAACCACTTCTTTACGTTTCATAACTTAGGAAATAAAAATCATGCTGGATTTACCTTTTCATTTGGTGTCTAACATTTCTGTTTGTGAAATTATTGTACAGTTTTTGAAAACCAAGAAAGTACTTTTGTTTATTGGTTAGCTGTCGTCTTGGTTTGTTTCTGTGATAAAACAGCATGACAAAAGCAAATTAGGGAGGAAAGGGTGTGTTCATCTTAAACTCTCTGGTCACAGTCTATCATTAAGAGAAGTGAAGGTGTTGGGTGGTGGTGGTGGTGGTGATGGTGGTGGTGGTGGTGGTGGTGGTGGTGGTGGTGACACACGCCTTTAATCCTAGCACTTCAGGCAGAGGCAGGTGGATCTCTGTGAGTTCAAGGCCAGCCTGGAGTACAGTGCAAGTTCAAGGACAGCAAGGGCTACAAAGAGAAATCTTATCTGGAAAGGGGGAAGGGAGGGAGGGAGAGAAGGAGGGAGGGAGGGAGGGAAGGAGGGAGGGAGGAAAGAGAATCAGAGACTATGGAGAAATACTGCTGTTACTGGCTTGCTCCTCACAGTTTGCAAAACCTGTTTGTTTATTTGTTTATAGCCTTGGCTGGCTTGGAATTCACTATGTAGATTAGGCTGGCTTAATAGAGATCCTCTTACCTCTACCTCCAGAGTACTGGGACTGAAGGTATGAGCCAGTATGCCTGGCCCTCATACTGCTTTCTCATATAATCTACCTATCCTGGGTGACACCGCATTGGGCTGGGTCTGTCCGCATTAGCCACTAGTCAAGAAAATGCCCCACAGACTTGCAGACAGGCCAATCTGATAGAAGTTAATCTTTTTTCTTCTTCTTCTAAGCTTTAAGTTTTTTTTTTTAAGTTGAAAAAAAAATCTAACCAGAACAACTCAACTAAATTCAAATTGCAGCTAAACTAAATTGCAGCTTCTCCTGTAAGACACTCCTAAAATGAGATATTAAGCATACTGTGTGGATGATGCTTATAGTCAGTACTTACGTAGCACTTATAAAATAGATGTGTTTATGAGATGTCAGTTAGCGCTTACATCCCAATTTAAACGTGTTTATCAAAGTTGTAAAAATGTCCTATCTGCAAAAGAGTAAGTCCATTTTATTCTCTAGAATCTAGAAAAAGAGTAAAGTGTAGCTAATGGGTCAGTCCATAGAATCTTCCTTCTGATGATGCTTTTTTCCAGATGATTTTTAAATGCTTTGAAGTGGAGTCAACATGGTGTTTTGGGCTTTCTTACTTTGTACTGAAGGTGCTAAGACTTAGGGACTTTAAATCATCAATACCTATTTGGAAATGATAAGGTTGCTTAAGAACCAGCCAGAAGATCAACAATAAGTTCAGAATGTTACAGCTAAACAGATACATCCCCGCCCCCTACACACACATACGTGTCTTTCTTTACATACATATTCATGACTGGTGACAGTGCTATTCTCTCTTTTTTAAAAAGATTTACTTTTGAATTTGTGTGTGTGTGTGTGTGTGTTGTGCACCTGTGCTGGCAGAGGTCAGAAAAGAACATTGGATCACCTAGGTTACAGATGGTTGTAAACTGCCCAAAGCTAAGAACGGAATCCCCATCTTCTGTAAAAGCAGCAAGTGCTCTTAACTGGTGAGTCATCTCTTCAGCCTCAGATTAACATTTTTAAATCCATAAAGTAAAAGATATGAGATCCAAAACAAAAATCAGTTTTTCTGAACAAGAACCAAAATATAGAAAATAAATATAATGAAGTTATATGTACTTTTGTTAAATAACAAGTTATAGTATCAGCTTCACAACTGGCATAATTTCAAAGTCAAAATAAAAAAGGAAGAACAATTTGAGAGACCTTCAACAGTTTCAAAAGTCTCAAAATATCTGTGATTTCCAGTATCACAAAATTAAGGTTTTGATGTTACTACAAAATTTTAGATGTTACTACAGCTGCATATATATATTAGGAGCGACTATACAGAGGTAATATCCCCTCCCCCCCCCATACAAATTCAGGGACTTTAAGATAGTTTATTTGGTGTTTCTTCTGAGTAACATTTCTCCTGGTAGGTGTTCTTACCAACTGGTGCTGTGCTTAGTGTTTGGTTAAGAATGCGTAGCCTCATTACTGACTTCTGGAGGAACCTTCTGTGCAGATTAAGTCCTGGAAGACTTTAAAAAGTCTAAAATTTCTAAAGACCGAAACAAATGAAAGGGGGAACCAGAGATTCATTGAAATTTGAGAGGATGAGCAAGCCCCTTAAAATCTTCCTGTTCACTCTTATTTTCTAAGTGGAGAGAGTAAACTAATCAAGTGGTGGCCGTTCAGTCAGTTTTCTGGCGAGAAACTTCGCTGTTTCTAGTTTAAAATCTGCAGGCCTGCTGTTTGTGTTCCGTGGGCAGCAGCACTTTGACGGTTTTGTTGACACAAAACCGCAATGTGTTGGAATCAGAGGATTTTGAACACGTGTCTGCTGCTGGAAATTCTGGACAGAACTGCCTGCATAACCCCAAACTGGACAAACAAAACCTGCAGGGACAGGAAATCACAGTAACAAGTGCACTACAGCTGTCGTCCTTAAGAGTGGAGTGGATTTTGCAGCAGCTGAGTGCAGAATTCGCACACACCTGCTTTTGGTTGGTGCACGCAGCGACTCTACAGCTTGTTGGGTGTTGAAGCTCCGCCCGCCCAAGAGCGCATCCCATACAGTTTGTCCCCAAGCAGCTCCCATATACGGCAGGCTCCGCCCCTGCCCGTGGCTGCCAGAGCGGGGTGCAGTCTGGATAGCCGCGGTGTCTGGACCCGCCCGCTGCTTCTGCTACTGCGCATGCTCCTCATTTCCAGCTCTCGGTGTTTTCCCGCCCTTCATTGGTTGACTGCGCCCATTTCTAAGCCAGTAAAGCACTGGAGTCCAGGCTTTGTAGGACTCCGAACAAAGGGGACGCTCTGCTTCTAACCTAGCCTGTAGGGTTTTAGGAAAGCTGATGAAATGAGAATTCCTGGTGCTAGTGGGCAACATATTGACCAACACATTATTTCACTTAATCCATTTTTTTTTTTTTGTTTTTGTTTTTCGAGACAGGGTTTCTCTGTGTAGCCTTGGCTGTCCTGGAACTCACTCTGTAGACCAGGCTGGCCGCGAACTCAGAAATCCGCCTGCCTCTGCCTCCCAAGTGCTGGGATTAAAGGCCACCATTGCCCGGCGCTTAATCCATTTCTTAAACCTTTGGAGTTCCTTATTAGCAGGCGAAGCAGAATGGAAGACTCAAAGCTAGTACTGGAGCTGGAGAGGAAAACCGGGAGCCCGCTTCGTTCGGCTCCCCTCAGGGAATATGGGACCATCACATCTTAGCTTTCTAGAGGAGTCCGTTTGAACCCGAGTCATCTGCCCAGGAGTGAAATGATAGTGGGGATATGATGGTCTTGAGTCCAGAATGTTCAATTGTGGTCATTAGAGACTTTGAGGGTGAGGAAGAGTAAGTCAGTAGACATACTTTATACTCTATCAGCAGGTACAGAGGTTCAGGGTCCTAGAGGAAGACTGATCTGTAAGTCTTGAGCCACTCTGACTGGGGCAGGAGGAAGATAGAGTTGGCACTGGAGTTTTTGTGACCAGCAGATGACTTTGAGGCTTACAGGGGTAGGCTTAGGGTTAATTGAATGAATTTACAGGAAGAGAGCCCGATAAGAGGTCACTGATGCCAGAGACTTTAGCTCTTAAAAAAAAGAAAGCAGGTGTCCTCACTTTTGATTCCCCCAACGACTAAAATTAAATTGCTAAACTGTAGAAAAAGGCAAAAACTCCCTTTAGATACGATTCCAACCAATATAACGACGTATCTATCTGCCTAAAAATCCTCGATCCTTTGTTTTCTTGGTACCCTAAATTGTGTGGTTCAGAACACATGCTTAGAACTTTTTGAAGAAACAGAGAAATCCCTCAGAGTTCTCACGACCCTTTGCTTCTCAACAAGACAGATGAGTTGACTAGCACGGGCTGTATAAAGCCAGATCCATGTTAATGGTCGTAAAGCTCGTTTTTGGTATTCCATTCCTCGGATTCCTTGAGAATTTTCTAAATGCAGTGATCGTCCTGGTCCTGACTGGGTTTGGTTTTCCCGGTTAGAGCCCACAGCTGGTTGCCATTGACTACAAGGCAGGGCTGCTCTGAGGCGTGGCCACTCAAGAGGCGGGGCCCAGACTTCCGGGCCCCGCCTCTTCGCGCTTAGGCAGCTGCCAAACCCCGGTGCGCGGATCACGCGGGCCGGAGCCGCTCTGGGCATGCTCAGTGGCCTGGCAGGTGTGGCCGCCTAGTAACTCCAGGTCGGCCCCAGCCGAGGGGCGGGTGAGAGGGAAGTAGGCGGAGGCGCGGGCACAGTCGCTGGAGTGGCCGGCGGCCGCGGGGCGCAGGCCTGGTGGAAGCCCCCGCGGGCCGGGCCGGGATGAGCTATGGCATCGGTCAAGGTGGCCGTGAGAGTCCGGCCCATGAATCGCAGGTGAGTGGGGCCTCCCGCCCCCCACCCTCGCCACACCCCAACCCCGGGCAGCTCCGCTCATAGGCCAATCTGGATTTAAAAGGGACAAACCCCTGGCCCACCTGGCCGTGTCAGTGGCCTTGGCGGTCCCGAGGGGCAAAGGTGTCCCGCATTGAAGGGGACTCTGAGGGAAAGTGTTCCCGAGGCCGGGGAGATTTCCATGTACAGTCCCTATCCCAGAACGTGAAGCTTGTTTGTTTGCCCTTTAAAAACCACCAAGGGACCACGTTCGTGAAGTGAAATACTTGGAGTGGGGTGGGGGAAGATCATGGAAGTGTGAGGGGTTCCTCGAGCTGTCAGACAGACACACGCTCATTTGTGCCAACTCTTATTCATCATGCTGCCTTTTAGTCGGGAGAGATTTTTCAGGTTCTTGAACCAACGTCTAAACAGTAAGTTAGCAGTTCAGAAGTTAAGCTTTACATGGGGGATGAGGAAACTTCTACAAAGTTTTGACTTCTTGAAGGAGAGTCACGTGCACGTGTTTGACTAATGTTAAGGGGGCACAAAGTGAGAACACCGTGTGTAACCTCTTCTATTTTCCTACAGAGTAGTGCCTTGCAGCGTAGCGTGACTCTCTTCCTTGCCTGAAAATCATTTTCAGTGACTTCCTCATCAGTTTAGAAAGAAGCTTTGAGAAAATTAACTTCTGAGAAAGTTAAATGTGCTTAACTTCAGTGAATGACATACATATAAGTGAATGCCCTCCAAGTTGACGGGCACAGGGCACACAAAGCTGTTTGTATTTATTGCTGTTTCAGTTCTTGGACATTTGACTTGCCATATGGGTGTTCTCCCTTAGTCATACTGTCAATTTCTAGTGGTCAGTGTTTGTTGGTTCTGACAGCCAGTTAGAGCAGAAGATCATAAAACCCAAAGGATTTTATTGGACTTTCCTGAATCTATTTTTCTATCTTCAAGTAGAAGAGTCACTATCATTAAATACCAGCGCTTTTGGAAGTCAGTGAGTTTTGTGTGAGTGATTTTTCAAGTTATCTCTAAAATTTTTTAGGGAGTTTGACACATGTGTGTGTGTGAATATTTGTTTTTTTCACACACCCAGTCATCAAGATAAATAGAGTCCCAAAGTCTTTTAAATGGTTTGTTTTTCTTTTTTAAGCATTTACATTATAAAGAGTTCTTTTTTTCCAGAACAATATGAACACATGCTAGAAAATAGTATCAGATAACTTTAGAAAACACTTATTAAATATGGGTAAATGTCTTCTAGAAGCCCATTGTCTAATGAAGGAAGGATGATGAGATTCGTCAATCTGGACTTTGTGGAAGGGGTGCTATGAGTTGAGTGCTGTGTCAGCATAGGCCTCAAGTCCAGGCCCATGGAGGCAGGCAACAATTACAGAAGCCATTTTAGTAGGCAGACAGATAAGATCTGTGGCCAGCAAGTAATGCTGGTGACATCAGGACTGGGAAAAAATGGTAAGGAAGCAGTGATCTGGACAAGGGGTGGAAATATGAAGGTGAAGTAGATACACCAAGACAATTCCCTGGTATCTTGGTAAAATTTGGTGAATTATTGCATGGGAAGGAGAAGGAAATGGGAGGCTCCGAGAGTTATTAGCTTAAGTGGTCAAAGAGCTGGAAAGGTTTGAGGAGCAGATAATGAAATTGAGAGCCTTCTTAGTCATCCCACTGTGCATGTGCATGAAGTGCAGTAAGTATGAGTTACCTACTCAGCATTCAGTCAGGAATGCTGCATGCTTGTTTAACTTGAGTCTTTGAAGTATGGGGAAAAGATCATCATGTTTTTGTACTGGGGCCATTGGTGGGAATCCTGGTTAAGTCTTAATGCTTCCAGAATTATCATGTGGAAGTCTATAGAGGGGAATGGGAGTCGGAGATCGGATGGTGGGATATGTCTATCCTTAGGATCCCAAGGAGGCTGGGCAGTGGTGGTGCACGCCTTTAATCCCAGCACTTGGGAGGCAGGGGCAGGTGGATTTCTGAGTTCAAGGCCAGCCTGGTCTACAAAGTGAGTTCCAGGACAGCTAGGGCTACACAGGGAAACCCTGTTTCGAAACAAACGAACAAACAAACAAACAAACAAACAAACAAAAGGATTCTAAGTAGAAGGGCTTGCTATCATAGAAATGAACCAGCACAACACATTGTCCTGGCAGGAGCAAAAGTCCCCTGTAGGCTGTAGTGGCTGTTGATATCAAAGGTTACTAAAATGAAGGCAGTTCTTGGTCAAAGAGATGAGGATACTGGTAACTTTCCTAAGACTAGTTTCTGGAACTAGTGATCCAGAAAATGGCAGTGAAGTAGAGAGACGGTAATGGCAATCTAAAGTATTTGACCTAATTCAAAAGTTCTGCTAGGTATCATGGTGATTGGAAGTAACTGTTTTTACCCCTGCTCTGGGAACTTCATTTGTCAAAATTTAATCAGATTTTTATCTACCAATATGTGTTTATAAGAATGGTGCTGCTTTGTTGTAAGGACAACTACTAAAAAAACAAAAACAAAAACAAAAACAAAAAAACCCATAAGTGACCAGAATATAGAAACACTGGAGATTTGTTAAAATTGTGACTGAAGTTATTCTATGCAACATATAAAAATTGTTGGTTAACTGTAAATGAGCCAACTACAAGTTAGGAGACTGATGAAAGCAAGATACACATATGCACATATATACTAGGCTAGAGTGCATGTATGTATGTATGAGAAAACTACAGAGACCCTGCTCTACCTGTGAAGAGCAGTTTATAAACACCTGACAGTGGTGCCTCTGTGCAGGAAGACGGATGGCAAGAATAGAAAGTTATTTTTTTCTTCTACTATTTGAATTGTCACATTCATGTATAATTGTAAAATTAATGATTAAAAACTTGGTTGTGTGATTTTGTTTTTGTTTTTGTTTTTTGAGACAGGGTTTCTCTGTGTAGTCCTGGCTGTCCTGGAACTCACTCTGTAGACCAGGCTGGCCTTGAACTCAGAAATCCACCTGTCTCTGCCTCCCAAGTGCTGGGATTAAAGGCGTGCGCCACCACTGCCCAGCTAAAGGTTGTGTGATTTTTAAAAAGCTACTTAGAGCTGTTGTCTCTGGCCGGGAAGAGTTTTGGGTGATGGTTGGAGACAACTTCAGGAAACTGCTCTCTCTATCATTTATCTGTCTATAATCTAGAGGTCATCTATCATCTATCAATTATCGGTTATCTAATCTATCATCTATCTATCATCTAGCTAATCTATCTTATCTACTAGTAATTTGTCAATCATCTATTCATCATCTATTTTTATCCTCTCTCTCTCTCTCTCTCTCTCTCTCTCTCTCTCTCTCTCTCTCTC